GAAGGGCTTAACGATCTAAATATGAATGATAAGAACTATCAGGAAAATATAAAAAAAATCTTACAGACCTTAGATATCTATATAATGTCGAAATATTGTTTTGAATTGGACCTTGATCATGATTTTCTTGCATGCATTGAAACAGTGTTCTTGGCACTAACAAGTTAAATTCAAAGTTAAATGGGGAACTATTGCCAACATTCAAACTCATCTGGAATTGGACATTCAGTTCATATTTCATTTAAATTCCAGAATTTCCGACATTCACTTATTTCACATAAACGTCAATAAAACTTTAGGAGTGATATTATGAGGGTTTAATTCTGAGTTTTTGTTTTTTCATAGGCAATTAATTCATTAAAGAAATATCCAGTTCCACTGACAAGTGGTAAAGAAGCCAAGATATTAGAGGGGTTTGGAGATAAAATTTGCAAGATGCTAGACAAAAAACTCCTTGACAATGGTAAAATTTCACATTTTCCTCTCTAATACTTTTATGAGGTATTGACTGGATGTTTAGATCTCATCAAAATTTCTCAAGCTAACTTTTACCACCATTAATTTTTATAGAGACAAATTTTTGAAAAGTTTAAAAAAAATTGTATTATTAAGACAATAGCTTTCATGAAAACCTTTTTGTTGTCAAAAATATATTTGTTTGGAGTTAATTGTATTGGTCTGAATCAATGATATATATAGGGGTGTGCAACTTGAATATTCATGTTTAGGCCAGACTTTTTTTATTCCTTGTTTCTTGAGTTTTTATAAGTAAATTTTCTTGAGGAGGGCGGGAAAATAATAAAATGAATTCTTTTTTTCCCACTAGATTTGTGTGATTCTCAAAGAATTGTAAGTGAGATCATTGATCTGAGAGAAAAAATGAAATAAAATTTTATTCCATGTATAACCTGGTTGGCAATGTCGCCAATTGGGGCACAATTTTCAGCATTAATGAGGGATTTCTCGGTTTTTGACAACAGAGTTTCACGGCGTGTCACCACAAACCACGCCGCCGCCATGTTCGCCTAGTCGTCTCAAGCAGCACGCATAAAGTTTAGATTTGCGCGAGACTTCGGTATTTTGATCATGATACTCCCATGAAATGCAAAACTTGGATTTGTTAGGCGGAGGGCGAAAAAAAAATGAAGATAAAAAAAAAATTTTTAACAATTTTTTGCACTCACAAGTCGGCGGGTGCGAGAAATTATGCTGAAATAATATTTTATTTTTATTTTATCGGACAATAACAAATGTTCAACGTCTGAACACCAAGATAGCTGACCCTTGAACCCCCTAACCTGACCTTAATATCCTACTGATAGAGGGCACACTATCAAAATAGCAATAGGCTGGCCTGTCAGTCTATAACAATATCTTAACAATAGCATCATATGGAAAGTTTCAATTGTGTAAATTGAAATCAGCAAGGTTATTGTCATAATCAAATGAACAATGACACTTAAAAGTAAACACAGCCTGAGATGAACACTAATAATTTTGTTCACAGAATCTCTCATTTAAATTAGTATTTCCAAGAATGTATTTTTGTATTCTGATTTTTTCTTCTTCACACCAGTTTCTGGTTTACCTATATCTTATACTTCCTGCATACAATAGACATAAAAATATAAATTATGCAATATAAGATCCAATCAAAATTGTCACTGGGATCTCTTTGAAAGCAAGCCACAAGACTTAATTGCTCCTCAAATACTGTTCCATTTTTCACTTCATCTTGTCCACTGTTCCTCTGAACTGAAGAAAAAATATTGGGGGGAAAATTTGGTTAGCGAAAAAAATGAAACACTACAAGTGGCTCTCGCCACGATCCATGTGTTATGTGAATGGCACTCATTTTGAGTTTAAAAATCTGATTTACAAATACTTGTACCTAATGTTTACAGATAAAGTCAATAAATTACAACAATGTGTAGGTGAAATAAACAACAAGATTCCATTGTTGTTTGGTTGTAAAATATTTAGCATAGATTTTGAATATACTGAGTCTTCTGTGTGGTTGGTGTTTTGTAGGCATTATCCCTGGATCTCCAATATTGGGAAAGCCCATCAGCAGAGTTATGCCTAGCACAACTGTAGATTTATGTGACAAACCCTCCATAGCAGGAAGTTCAGACACATCACAGACAGTGGGAAAAACAAATCCAATATCACAAACCTCCCAGCAGGTAGGTCTATTCAATATGCTTATGGTTGTTGGTTATGCTGAATTTGTAGATGTCAGTATGTACATATCTTGAATCACCTACCACAAATTAGTTTATTAGAGAATCACCCACCCACACATTGGCTTATCTGAAAATAACCCACCCAAACATTAGATTATCTGAAAATCACCT